GTTGTGGATAGGTGGGAGCTGTTCTGCAATCACGACTGGAGTTCGTTGATTTTCGAAAGAACACTTTGGAGCCTGAAGAATGCCCTGAAGGATAAACTACCGGCGTACCAACAGAAGGTGAGAAATGACCCCACACACCAAGAGACTTATAGTCTCTACGGGTTTCCGTACGCATTTCAGGTTAGCGAGCTTTAAATCAACTATATAATCGTATATATTATTTAAATGCATTATTTATTTGACTTCACTGGATTCTAGGTATGGGCTTACGAGACGATATCGACGTTGAGTCTGCGCGTAGCCACGAGGCTGAGCGACGACGCCATTCCTCGACTCCTTAGGTGGTCGTGCACTTATTCTCGTGGGTTTCTTACTCTGCAGAGAGACGTGTTCGATAACACGATGGTAAGTAATTATCTTGACCCCGTGCGATTCAAATTTATTTTTTCATTTGGGTCTAATCATAAGTTTTTTCCAGTCCAAGGTTAAGGAATACTTGGTTTCGACTAATGCTGAGGCAGAACACATGGTCCGTATCATGTGTCCACCGGAAGCCCGCGCTATACCTGCCTCGCTGGCTGTACCTGACCCGCCTGCAGTACCTGACTCGGTTGTTGTACCTGCCCCGGATGCAGTACGTAACCCGCCTGCAGATTTGGAAAGGGGTGCTGAGGAAAGAAGGGTGAAGGACAAAGGAAAGAACATCATAGAGGATCCGGTAGAAGAGGCAGAGACATTGGACGATGATGCATTACAGGGTCCTGCATTAGACGATGCTGGACCCAGTGGAAATGACAACGAAGCCCTACAGAAGAGGTCGAAACGGAAAAAATTCAAAAATAAGATCAGTAGAAGGTTGAAGAGGCTCGATGACCGAGTTGGTGCTATCGAGGCCACACTGACTGGCTTCGGGGTCGCCCTGAAAGGTATCCAGAGATACCTTAAGAAAATGTCGAAGGTATGCATTTTATATGTATATAACATTAGGTATGCTTAGTAATTAATTATGATTATTTGGGTCCGAGATAACGCTCATTGGTCCGTACTTTTCGTGCATGGTAAATTCCCTGATCCGACCAAATATTTTGGACGTGGGGGTGGGCCCGATGATGATGATCTATCGGATCAAAGGCCTGATGAGGCCCCAACACGAGGTCCGAAGAGTATGAACGAGGACCGGAGGCCGGAAGAGGTCCCTAAGACTGACGAGTATCGGACCATGGACGATAATCTGAAGAGTATGGATGAGGATCCGAAGAATATGGACGAGGATCCGATGTTTATGGTTGAAGACCAGGGTACGATAACGGAGCGGGACAATGCATCGGATGCTTACCCCGATCATCCTGTCGGTTTGTTTCAGGTAAGTCCTATTTCTATAACGCTAGTATACGTTTGTGCTTCCATATACCAATATGATTAATATTGGTTGTATATTAGGATGCCACTATTGGAATGCAAGAGCCGGACGTTGCATCAGATACGCGACCCATCAGCCAACGTGTTAGGCGTCCCTATAAGGACTGGGCACCGGACGCAGTCATTAAGGTAAACTGTCATTACATATACATATTAGCTGTCAGCTGTCATTATACGAACTCACGTGTGTATTGTGTTTTAGGTTGAACATTACCTTGACCAGGACGAATATGACCTTCAGCAGGCCCCAACTGGGCGTGGGCTACGCAAAAGACATTACTCTTGGAAGCTGAAGGATATATACACACCAACCGGTCAGCGTGGGATCACCGTGGATAGATACGACCCAGTATGTCCCATTCCACCGCAGTTGGACGATAAGTTCCAGAGATGGATGGATGACCCGAAGAC